AATAACCACGCCCACCTCCCATACAAATGTTATGTTGAAAATCACTAAAAGTGCGTTAACCGACTAACAAAAAACGTCGGAAACACTAAATTTTACGGAAGGAATATCAGAAGTAAGCTGCATCCAGGCTTTTTTTAGAAATTGAAAATGGGCGTGGCGTCGACCACTTATGGACCAAAAACCATATCTCAGGAAGTACTCGACCGATTTCAATGAAATTCGATAAATAATATTTCCTTAACACCCTGATGACATGTACCAAATATGGGTGAAATCGGTTCACAACCACGTCTGAAATCTCGATTATCACTGTATCATGCGAGAGTATAAAATGTTCGGTGACACCCGAACTTAGCCCTTCCTTAATTGTTATATTTCGTTTTGGTTGTTGTAGTTATAGTTTATAATGTTTTCACTTTGGCGGTTTGAGTTTTTGCCTGTCACGTCAATACACACAAGTGGGTTTTTGATCTATTCTGCTCTGTACGTGCAGGAAATCAAGAATACACCACTTCTTTTCGTAGATGGTATGGTAAGCGCTTTCAATTTCGTTTGTAGAGTAAGTAACGTTGTGTGTTACAGTTCATAAATGTGGTTAATATAAATTTTATATAATAAAAAAATTAAAGTTTGGCTATACTAGTATTCAATAATAAAAACTGAAACTAGTTCAAGTATTTAGGATGCGAATTGCAACAAAAATTCATGATTCAAAAAAATTTTATTTTTCTCTGCTCTTAGATTTTTCACTAAAATTGCCAATTTTTTGCATTATTATTAATTTTAGTTAATATTATTTTGAAAAAGCAAAGCTTGCATTATAATTTATGTAAAAATTATGCATAAAAACACATTTTTTTTTTGTAAAATAAACGTTAGCTATGTGTACTGCAACCAAATTTTCCCTACATGGTTTGTACTTTTTTTTTTAATAGATGCAAACATACATATGTGCGTAAATGTCTAAGTTGCATATTAACCGACATTCAGGTAGTTCAGTAAACAAGTTTTCTAGACAAAGTGATACTTTGTATATTTGTAGACAACATCCATACATACAAACCTGTTTATTTATATTGTATTATTGAAAATAAATGCATACAAATATTACGATTTCTGCTCTCATCTACTTACATACATATGTATGTATGTATGTATGTATGTATATGAACTTATTGGTAGTCGAAAAAGTCTTTTCGTATTTATAATCAAACTTCAACTTACTTTTTTATATTTATCCTAATACATATGGTCGACCACTTTTTGTCACTTTTCCACTTGAAACAATATACCATCAGTGTAAAACTTTTATTAGTGTAAATCGAAATTTCGAAATTTTCAGAACGGAAGCGCAGAAACCATTATTATGCTACACGAACTCATACAGCATCGTCACCGTAAGCTTCACAAATTTCATTGGTGGCTTGCGTGGCATTCTTCCCTTTCTTAATATAAAATATTTTAAAATATAGCAACTTCCCCGAACTTATAATAATTAAGTTAAATGAAGCTTAAAATTTCCAACTTTCCAACACTATATGGTATGACACAATGTGATTGGTAGCACTGCAGATATACTGCAACGACATACAATTGACAAAATACGAAAAGACTTTTTCGACTAGCGAATATATTCCACAGAAGAGGCATGTTTATTGTTATTTAAAAATTTAATTGATTTGACTAATCATTTTGTCTTTTATTGTTGCATTAGTTTAAATTATATACATAGTTTTGCACATTCACAGCAGCTATTTATGTGAATATTGATTAATGCAACAACAAAAATCAAGATGATTAGTAAAATAAATTTAAATTGCTAATAATTGCAGAAAAATCTATTGTTGTTAAATTATAGACAAAAAATATTATTGGTGAGTTGCAAAACTTTGCAAAAAAAAAAAACATTTAAAAAAATTAGCGATACAATTAAATGTATTGCATTGTGATAATGAAGTTTCGAAAGTATGTGCTTGCTGATAATTTTTTGTATTCTTGGTTATCGTTTAGTTATGAAAAACAAAAAAAAAAAACGAACAAGTCATGCTTAGCTGATAATGCTAAGCTTCAAGTTGGCGCTCAGCTTCTAAAAGCTTATACGGCAAGCAGCGACTTAGCAGCAATGATTGATGACTTTTAAAACAGCTGAGCGGTCGCAACAAAATTGAAATCAGTAGGCAAATTTCTATTGAAAACAAAAACTAGCTTAATATGTTGCTCATTTTTTAATATTTTTTTTTCGCCTTCACTAAGTAAACTACAGCAAAAGGTGTATTATTAAAAATGTTTGTAAATAATTTTATTGAGTAGTTAAATAATTGTGTTGCACTATTTCAAATGTTCACAAATCAGTAAGCAATTGTTTTAAAATCCAACTAAACCGGTACAAGCCGCTAGGTACCGAATATGTGGACCCCAATATGTATGGTTGATTTTTGACCGAAAATATCGGGATATTAAAATGMATTTCCTGCATTTCCTATAGAACTTTGTGTATTAAAAATGGTTTGAATCGTGTCAATACTTCCCTGAGCCCCTATATACCTAATATAAAGATTTTCGAACTTCCGGGGGTTTTTATATCGCTTATATTGGCTAATATGTGAATTATGTAAATGAAAAAGAGAGAGCGTGTTTTACTCATAACTGTGCATCATAAAATGAATAAAATTGTGCGAAAACTTGATCTAGCCCCCATATAACTTATATCAAGATTGGTGATTGTATGTGAGGTACATTCTACCACAACTCCCATATATTTATATGGGATAAATGGGTATTTATACCTTATGCCGAATATGTTGGAGAGTGTAGGAGTTATATAGAGTACATTTTTTATATAAAATGCTTAGATTCCGATTCTCTGTTTGACGTTTTACCCCTTAAGGTATTTTACTGCCCTTAATTCTAGCAAGTTGCTAGAGTGTAAAATGTTCGGTTGCACCCCAATTTAGCCCTTCCTCACGTGTTTATTTATATTTATATTTTTATTTTTTTTATAAGCTCATATTTTTTAATAACATAACTTCACTTTTTGTTGGTCAATCCTTTCGATATTTCTACTAAAAAATAAGTATTATTTTTCTTTTATTCAAACACTAAGTTATCGCAAGCGATATGAATTTATTTATAATCGCACATTATTGTGAGAATTTGCGATCCAAAACAAAAAAATAAAATATTAAAAAAAAAAAAAAAAAAAAACAATCAAAAAATTTATCAAGATATTCTAAGCTTGTAGTGTTTTAGTACATATATTTTCTGCGGAATTATCATTGTTATACTCTCGCAACAAAGTTGCTAAAGAGAGTATTATAGTTTGGTTCACATAACGGTTGTTTGTAAGTCCTAAAACTAAAAGAGTCAGATATAGGGTTATATATAMCAAAGTGATCAGGGTGACGAGTAGAGTTGAAATCCGGATGTCTGTCTGTCCGTCCGTCCGTCCGTCCGTCTGTCCGTCCGTCCGTGCAAGCTGTAACTTGAGTAAAAATTGGTATATCATAATAAAACTTGGTACACGTATTTCTTGGCTCCATAAGAAGATGGGCAAAATCGGCCCACTGCCACGCCCACAAAATGGCGGAAACCGAAAACTTATAAGGTGTCATAACTAAGCCATAAATAAAGATATTAAAATGAAATCTGGTACAAAGGATCGCATTAGGGAAGGCATATTTGGACGTAATTTTTTTGGAAAAGTGGGCGTGGCCCCGCCCCCTACTAACTTTTTTGTACATATCTCGAAAACTACTGTAGCTATGTCAACCAAACTGTATAGAGCCGTTTTTTTAGGCATTTCCATATACCTGTCTCTTATACACATCTAGATGTGTATAAGAGACAGGTTCAAAAATGGAAGAAATCGGATAATAACCACGCCCACCTCCCATACAAAGGTTATGTTGAAAATCACTAAAAGTGCGTTAACCGACTAACAAAAAACGTCAGAAACACTAAATTTTACGGAAGAAATGTCAGAAGGAAGCTGCATCCAGGCTTTTTTTAGAAATTGAAAATGGGCGTGGCGTCGCCCACTCGTGGACCAGAAACCATATCTCAGGAAGTACTCGACCGATTTCAATGAAATTCGATATATAATATTTCATGACATGTACCAAATATGGGTGAAATCGGTTCACAACCACGTCTGAAATCTCGATTATCACTGTATCATGCGAGAGTATAAAATGTTCGGTGACACCCGAACTTAGCCCTTCCTTACTTGTTTTAGATTAGATTAGACATTTTCACATGTGCATAAAACTAATTACTAAACGTGATAATATTTGGCCAAAAAAGTTAACATATTTTTTGCATACTTAGTTTCTATGTTTATTATTGGGAATTTCTTTCTAGTTTCCGCCATAATTTATTATCGTCGCCGGGAAGGATAAACGAATAAAATGAATTATACAGTCTAATTGATATGCTTATCTTTTGATGAATAGTGTTAAAATACATTATAGAAATTCAATTACATTCCACAAATAATATTGAATAATTGCTAACTACAACTGCATTATATACATGTAAATCAATATCGGCAACAAATTCCTCGCTTAAGTAAATTTTTAAAACTTTTAAACAATTTTAATAACTGCAGAGTTGTGATTTTAACATAATACATATAAAGAAATGTGACAAAAATATTTGTAGGCTTAGTATACGCTGCTGGTGCTTTGATAAGATTAAAGTATATTTTTGCGATAAAATCTTAACAATGCTATTAAAAGTGTGGAAATTTAATGAATCTCATGTAGTAAATATAAAAACAAATCTTGCTACGTGACTTCATTACCTGATAATATAAAATACATACATATGTTTAATTATAATGAATACATAGGACGCTTGGATTGTATTCTATCATTCTCGATTTGCATTGACAATTCAGTGCCGGGTTCTCACGTCACAAGCAAAAGCTTTGTAGCGACAATATTTTTTGCAACCTATTGGCAAGGCTTTGTTAAACAAGTTCCACAATGTATGATCAGTTGTGGAAAGACTATTTCGGAAGAGTTAAGCATTTCAACGAAAAAATACAATTTTAATTCTTCATCATTTGACGAGGTAGTTTTTTTTTCGAAAAAATCCATTGGTTATTACGAATAAATAAATATGTCTTCCAGTCCCATATTATTACCAATCAGTACGCGATCAGTTGGTTTTACCATTCGTATTTTAATTACCAAAATGCGGCGCTTGTTAGGGAATAAATACACAGATTTCAATTGGTATGACCTGACAAATGCGTTGTATCGTGTTACGTTATTGAGGTTGCATGTGAAAATAAATGAAGGTTTTAGACATTCGTTTATAAATCCCAATATTTCCGATCAACCATATTATCCAGATTTGGAATTATTTGAGATAGTTAAAAATAGATTTCCCGAAGACTTTGCTGTTATACATCGAATATTATCTGCCATTGGTTTCGTGAAATATGGACCCGATTGCTTTGTGCCATTTTTGCCGCTTTTAAAAGATGAACAACGGTGCGATCCTATCAATGTACGTTTCACTAACTTACGTGAAATTGTCAATACACTCGCTGATCCGGAAACTTCAGTGGAAATACGCAAGCATTTCTGGCAGCACAATCCAATACCCGGTGCTAAATGGAGCACGGCTGAGGTAGATGGAAAAGATGAATTTCTTGCCAATACTATTCTTTCTAATCCTAATGACATAATGCCAGACGAATGCGACGTGAATGAAGATATTTCTACAATACGAGGTATCATATGTGTAATGGGTAGAAAGTACTCAAAGGAAATTGTGAATGAAAGAATTGAGTATGAGTCGTATGGATCAAGGGCTCAATTTGTATCGAGCATAGCTAAACCCGTACGTTGTCCCTCTTATAATGATAATAAAATAGAAATGCCTAAGGGTCAGCATGATATATTTTGGTCACCAAGATGGTTAAAGCAAAATGAAATTGATTTGGGAGTTTTTTGCTTACTTGGTGAACATTCAGAAGCAATAAAAACCGAACGTTTATTGGCGATACGTTTTGAAGAGGTCGCAACTCAACATATTTATCAATCTTATTKAAATTCTCACCTACAATTTTTTTAAATACCGCAGAAGTATATTATTTATAAAAAATTCAGTTTTTATTTAATAAAATATTTTGAATTCAACTAATTAAGTTTCAATAAATAGTTTTGTATTTTTGGTTTATTAAATTTTCAATAAAACTTTATTCAAAAATATATTTGGTTTGGATGTTGTTTTTTTTTTTATATATTGACGGCCCTGCGAGACTTGTAGTAAGTTCGCACTCCCTAAGTATTTGGCAAGGTCACAGTCAAGTTGGAATTAACGACTTTGTTGTTATTGTTGCAGTAACGGCAGAATTTTGCCGAGTTGACTGTCCCTGAACGCATAAAAAATCCTGGTCCGATCTGTTTACGAAAACCCCATTATCGGGGGAACGGAACTAACGAAGTTCCTTACGCCCGTTATAATGTTGTTAGATTACTTACGACAACAAATATGTATGGACCTATGAAATATTGCAGCTGAGCGTTTAGGTCCATTGGATCGTCCAATTTTCCTGAACACAAGATTAAAGACGGCACTCGAAATTATGTGAATTTAAAATCGAGGGTACATTAGAGTCCACAACATATTGCTTTTTTATAAATATAATTTAACCTATAAATTTAACTGTGAAAAATTTCAATAAGATTGCTTCACTAGTTTCTGAGAAATAGTGATTATCGGCTTTCAAAACTATGTTTCGAGAAAAACACGATCAAAGATTGAATTCATATCTATCTATCCTTTAAACTTTCGGATTATATTCTACAAAAAAAAAACAATTTTTTGAAATTTCAAAACTCTACGTAATCGTTAGGTATATAATGTCATTGGAGAACAGTTTTGGTCTGTCTAAATAAAAAAATGGAAGCTTAATTATAAAACCCAGTAGCTCATATTTTGTATAAAGAATACTAGCTGAGTTTTTTTTTTAGTATTTATTAAAATCGTAGTTCGCTCATCTAAATCTATTATAGCCAAGAGCTTTTGTAAAAACTAGCTTACAGCACTCGATTCGAATACATAATTAATTTGGCTTTATTCTTTTATTTAATATTCTTATTTTATCGTCTATGCTAATTACTCRTTCTAGCTTTTTATTAACAACGAATGGCATAAGAGCAAAAGTGGTAAAACATTCGGCTCCATAAATCCCACTACCGAACAGAATGTTGCTGAAATTCAGTGCGCCGGCAAGGAAGACGTTGACATCGCTGTACAGGCCGCTCGCACCGCTTTCAAGTTAGTGTTGAGCCAGCATACATACATACATACATAAAATTTCAACTTTATAAATTCATTCATCATTGCAGAGTTGGTTCACCATGGCGTCACATGGATGCCTCCGAGCGTGGTGTACATTTGTATAAGTTAGCTGATTTGATGGAGCGCGATCGTGTATATTTAGCGGTAAGTCCTGTGGCGCAATTATAATTTTCTGTTATACAACCAGCGCTTTTTTTACTCCCAGAGTTTGGAAACATTGGACAATGGCAAACCCTATGCTGTCGCCTATAATGTTGATGTGCCGGCGGCTATTAAGAACTTACGCTATTTCGCCGGTTGGGCTGATAAGAATCACGGAAAGACCATACCTGTAGATGGTGATTACTTTGCTTACACACGTCATGAACCCGTTGGCGTTTGTGCACAAATTATACCATGGAATTTCCCTATTCTTATGATGGCTTGGAAATTGGGACCAGCACTGGCTACTGGTAATACCATTGTGCTAAAACCGGCAGAACAGACAAGTTTGTCTGCGCTCTATATTGCGCAATTGATCAAAGAAGCTGGCTTCCCAGAAGGTGTGGTAAATGTGTTGCCAGGTTTTGGCGATGCTGGTGCTGCTCTAGCCAATCATCATGATGTCGATAAAGTTGCATTCACCGGTTCCACTGAGGTTGGCAAACTGATACAGCAAGCTTCGGGTCGTAGCAATTTGAAACGTGTCACTTTGGAGTTGGGCGGCAAGAGTCCAAACATTGTTTTAGCTGATACTGATATGGACTATGCCGTAGAGACTTCACACTTTGGTCTTTTCTTCAATATGGGACAAACTTGTTGTGCTGGTTCGCGTACCTTTGTTGAAGATAAAATCTATGATGAGTTTGTTGAACGCAGCGCTGAGCGTGCTAAAAAACGTACCGTTGGTAATCCCTTTGAATTGCATGTGGAACAAGGACCACAAATCGATCAAGATCAATTGCATCGTATACTCGGCTTAATTGAACAGGGTAAAAACGAAGGTGCCAAATTGGTTGCTGGCGGTAGTCGAGCCTCTCACTTGCCTGGCTACTTTGTTGAGCCGACTGTATTCGCCGATGTGCACGATCACATGACAATTGCACGCGATGAAATCTTCGGACCCGTACAACAGCTCATTCGTTTCAAGTCTTTGGATGAGGTAATTGAACGTGCCAATAAATCTGATTATGGTTTAGCGGCGGCTGTCTTCACACGTGATATCGATAAGGCTAATTACATCGTGCAGGGCCTGCGCGCCGGTACCGTCTGGGTAAACACATACAACGCATTGATGGCACAAGCGCCCTTCGGTGGCTACAAGATGTCCGGTCATGGTCGCGAAAACGGTGAATATGCATTACAAAACTACACCGAAGTGAAGAGTGTGATTATGAAGATCTCTCAAAAGAGCTCTTAATGGTGATATAGAGAAAGTGAATTTCAACATTATCTTCTATGCTACTGATGTCTGCTTGTGTTATGTTATTCGTAATATTAGTGGAAAACAACCGAAGTTTAATTAAAAGCGCACATGTTTCTTACATTGTCATATATTTCATTGAGTTTTGTTAATTAAGTAAAACAATATCATCTATGAGTTTTGGTAAATCCCTAAGCTGGTTCAGCATTACCTCACTACATACATACGTACATAATATGTTTCATATAAATAAGAAAAAAATTAAAATGTATCGCATATTTTATTGATGGAAAACTACTACCGTAAAACTCATTTAAGGTGACCCCTCTTAAAAAAGATGCTCCCTCGTTGGCAGAATAACTCTTTACACAGAATCATCTAAAGTGAAAGAAATACGTGCTTTGGAAAAAACCTTAACTTAGAACTTGGACAAAGGAAATAACACTGAAAATTGGATGTTTGCCAGACATTTTTCAAAAAAAAAAAAACTAAAATTTGAGTGAGAATTTCGCGACATTTATTTTCAAATAGTTGTGATTGTAAAAATGAAAAAATCCTTCGTTCAGGTCCTCAAGAATTGTATCTCAAARACCTGTGTGAAATTTCATGAAGACCAGTTGAGTAGTTCTTGCGAAAACTTGCCAATCATTTTCAAAAACACTGTTTCGAGAAAAACGCGTTTAAAACTTCACACTTAACTTAGCTAGCCTCAAGCGCAGAAGTTCTCAAAGCTGTATCTCCGAAACTTTTTAATAAGATATTTAATAAGACAACAAACAAAATAAAGATTTTTCGAAAATTTCGCACTGAGACGATCCCTTAAGGCATTCTTTATTACCAATTGTTGCCAAAATTAAAATAAAACAAAACATTTTACTTTTATTGAGATTTCTTCTTTCTTTTTTTTTATGACTTCTTATCTTTAAAGGACTGATGGGTAAAAGATTAGTCCAGCGAGATTTTACGGAATGAACCTTCCATACCAAACAAACTTTCATAATCCGGTTGATTGYCAAGACGTAGCTCCTCATTATTTCGATATTTGAGATCCTCTTTGAAATAATCACGGTGATCAAGAAATTSTTTGATTGTGGAGTTCTCTAGTTCAACAAGACAACCATTTTCACCGCCATATTGTTTGGGCATATATTTTTGTGGTATATGAGCATAAAGTGTCTCCAAATTGTTGCCATGCAAAAAAACCTGTTTTATTTTTGACAGAGTATAAGAAAGCATTATATGTACAATTGTTATAAATTAAAATGATCTTTTGCATACTCACGCGTTCCCTCTGTTTGGATGAAATCATCGGCTTTATCATATTGTAGGGCCTCTCGAAACCGGCTGGTACATTAAAGAAATGTGCTGAGGTCTGACGCAATGGTAAGGCTTTCTCGGCAAAATCTATGGCGCTCTTTAAAATAGTCGGTGTATATTGTACAAAATGTGCAGCGTCTACTTTTTCAAGGTCTATCAGATTAATAAAACCATTCACCACTACAGTGTCATCACCGCGCATAGCTAGCTCCTGTTGTGCATACGCTGTAGGCGCTATATCTTTGAGTTTATATTTGTCAACTGGATAAATACCAAAACGGCTGAATACAATGCGTGGTCCAGTCTCATTTAGTGGTATGGGCAATATTAATCCCGCACTGTGTGAAATAAAAAAAGTATTTTTGAATTAACAATAGGTTTAAGAAATGGGTTCTTGTTATTTTAAGGGTCATAAGGGATAGATGTGGTTGATATAGGGAGGATTTGAGGAGCGTTACAAAGGTACGGTTAGTGTCATGCTTTAATTTTGCATATATTGCAGTGATTACTAGATAACTTCCTCTTATCTCAAACACGTGCCGAAAAATCGCATACAAAATCGAGCTCTTCAACTGCTTGTGCTGCCGTTGTAAGTATTACAACGCGGCACATGCGATGCATCTCAACATATGTATGTATTTATATGTGGTCGGCCATATATTGTATGGAATCTATCTGGCTATTTCTGGGATACTAGCTTCAAACAAAGGACGAGTGTATATCCCACGWAAATAATCGAAATATTTTATTTGTTTCCAAAGAGCATGCTGGAATTTTTTATGCTTTTTACCTTGCATCCAGTGGAACGCGATAATAATCTCACTCATATAAGCTTTGACGTAAGTAATTACGAGCAACATATAAAAGGAAGTTTTTATATTACTGATGACTTCATTTCCACATATCTGTGTCGTAAGTATTTTATAAATTCCAATTTAAATCCGCTATTATTAAGCCGTGAAAAATGACAAGTGTAATATTTACCCATATTTTACGAGTTCACTAAAATACGGCACATCTGGATTTTGTATTGTGTAGTATTCCGGATATTTAGTTTTTAATGTATAGAACCAATCTAATTTCGACTTCG